GAGTAAAAAAAGAGGAAGAAAAAAATGATATATTTCAAAAATAAGATTAGCCCCAAGTATTTTTACACAAATGAAAATATAAAACGAAAATTGTAGCATTTCAAATAAAAAAATCAAAATCAAAAATTCCACAATATAATCTTATAGATGTATAAAAGATGATGAGGAAAAAATATTATCTAAAGAGGAGTGCAAATACCCCAATACCAACTATATTAGCTGTTTCACTGTTAACAAAAACAAGACAACGGTCAGAGAGCAGATCTGGTGCAGTGGAAGTTCAAGAGCATATATGAGGGCACGATGGAGTTCAATGAGCAAATCTGAGGCACCATCTTCAGAGAGATAGCGACGGTCGAAGTGAAAGAGAAGAGGAAGAGATATAACAGAGATGGATGGCGCCGAAGTCTTTATGAGATGATCACTGTTCAAAGGAACTTTGAGCAGAGAAATCCAAGTTGGGAAATTTTGAGAGATCGCGAGACACGGTGGAACGGAGAGAGATTGTGAGACTGAGAAGGCTGCACCTGCTACTGTGGTATTGAGAATGAGAAAGGGAGAGAAAGAGGCAAAGGCAATAATAAGGAAAAATAACAATTAAAGATTCTCTAAGAGCATTGATCCTAATTAAGAATCATAATATTTTGAAATCTTAGTTAAGGACCATCCCATAACATTTTGAAATCTCACTTAAAGACTATGGTCCTTAATTGAAATAAAAAAATATAGTTTGTAAGGTGGAATTCATTAATACCCTTTGGGAATTCACTAATCTAACTTAAGAAAATTACTACCATATATTTTAAAAACATAAAATTCCATTTGAGAATCGATTATTCAACAAAAAATGCCATTTGAGAATTCATTAACTCGACTTGAAAAAATTTCTAATATATATTGTGAAAACATATAACTCTACTTGAGAATTGATTATTTAACAAAAAACCCTAATTTGGACAAATTTAAATTGGATTTAAATATTTTGGTGCACCTAAATCTTTGAAAATATGACTTTTTACATCTAGATGTTCAAATTTAGATTGGACCTTTGGATCATGTTCATACTTATCTTGTTAGTTAGTTTATGAAATAAGCTTCTTTTGGGCATTTGAATCACTCTGATCGAAAGTCGTATGTGAAAATGGCACATGTTGAAAGTTTGCCTTTGTGAATTGTCATATGACAGTAGAAATTTCTATCATGTATATCGCGACGCATTGCGTGTCATGCCATAGCAAATGGCACAATGAAAGAGAGCCCGTAACTCTGTATCACATGTCGTGGCGCATGTGTTGTGCATCGCAAAGCATGGCCCAATTTTTGGCCTTATTTTCTAAGTTTCAAACTGTGATTTAGAAGTGATGAATGCATGCGATTATTTTTCTGCTGTTTCTCACTTTGATAAGTGAAGAATCTTAATGATTCTATCAAACAAAGTTTTGAACCCAAGTTTTTCAAAATTAATCCTTCCTTGAGTATTTATAATTGTATCGATATGGTGATTTAATTAATCCCTCTTAATATGAGGTGGATATTAGGAGAGGTTACCCTCCCTCCGTCCCTCCGTCTCTGCATTTTTCTTCCTTCTTCTCTTTGCACTTTGACCATATGCCTAAAAGTGGACTATTTCTTTTATTCTCCCCTGTGTTTGTAGGACACTATCATTCATATGAGTTTATCTCGCTCTTACAAGTTTATTTGAAAGTGTAAAATAATGAGTTGAACATATAGTACAATCTTGTTCGACTATCCTCCCTGGCTGTGCACACCACGCAGACTGCCTCCATCTTGTCAATCTCACCGGCTTGGCAGCATCGCTAGCCCCAAACCTCTCTCCGCCTCTTGTCACCTTCTCGGCTTCTTCCTCTCTCAATCTCGCTTTTGCTCTTTGTCTTCTAGATCTGATGATCTCACCGCCATCATGAAACTCTATTCTTGAATGCCAGTTCATTGACTTAGTTTTCCTTCCCCATTTAGCGCTCTTAGTAGTCAATAATCAATCTTTCACCATTGTCGTGTTGGTTACCACTGTCCATCATTCTTTCTCATTGTTTAGATGTTACATTGTAATTTAATGAAAGGTAGGGAGTAAGAAATATGAACTTCCAAATCATACTAATATATTTTCATCTATGCTGCCAAAAGGATGAATAATACTTTATCTAGTATTTTAGTCTTTTAAAAAAAATGTGGAGGGCAATCTAGACTATTAATAAATTCACTCCTGTTTCGCTCATACTGGTGGCTTGAAATTCCATGAAGAGACGGTGTTTGCCTCAGTGCTATTTGATCATGAGATTATCTAGGAATGATAATAATGTCCCATTATTCTTCATAGCCAATTCAACTAATAAAAAATCATTTAAGTTTAATTTAAACACACCTAGGAGCTACGAACCTTATTGGATTTTCTCTTCTTAAAGTTATGTTTCGTGCATACGAAAAACAGAGTCTTTGCCTTTGGGTTCTTTAATTGCTACCATGAAAGTCGTTGAAATCGTAGAACTCGGTTCAAATGAACTAAGGAGGAGGTTAATGGTGGCGGAAACAGAAGACGGTGAGCGGTGGAGCATGGGAGGGAACGCATTGGAGCAAAGGAGTAGATGGAGAGAGAGTCAGATGCGCAGAGAGAGAGAGAGAGAGAGAGAGAGAGAGAGGGAAGGGGGGGCAGGGATTGCATGAGCCTTGTGTGGGTCAAAATATTAGATTTAACTGTCCACATTTTGTAAATTTAATAATGGAGTGATATTACATCTTTTTTAAAAATCTATATATATATAATAGAAGAATAACAAGCGTATCTCTATGAATGACAAGTGTCATTTTTTTAAATAGTATAATTTTAGAAAGTCACGTAAGATTTTTATTTATAAAATTATTTTTAATTCATGAATATAATTTATTTTTATTCTTTTATTTCAGTAACTTCTTAACGCATGATCTAATAATTTCCTAATTCCACGATTCCTCTTTTAGATATGGTTAGTTATTCAATATTCTATCATTCAAATAGTAAATTAATATAAATAAACAAATAAAAACTGAATTAAATTCGTATGACTTAATAAAATAATTAAATTAAATTCTTTATACATTATTAATTAATATAATTCTCATTTATAATTTAATTAAATATATATGATTTATGAATTGAGTAATTAATGGATATTAATTTAAATTATAATATTTAAAATAAATATAACAACATAATTTTCTTGATATTTTAATTGTTATCTCGTGCAAACATGTAAACAATAAAATAAAATTCTTATTTATGAAATTCTTAATTTTCTTTATTTTTTTGATTCATGTATATAATTAAATTTAAATATAGATATTTATTTAGATTATTTATTCCGGTAACTTCTTAGCCCGTAATCTAATAATTTTCTAACTCCACGATTCCTCTTTAGATATGGTTAGTTATTCAATATTCTATCATTCAAATAGAAAATTAATATAAATTAACAAAAAAAAACTGAATTAAATTCGTATGACTTAATAAAATAATTACATTAAATTCTTTATACATTATTAATTAATATAATTCTCATTTATAATTTAATTAAATATATATGATTTATGAATTGAGTAATTAATGGATATTAAGTTAAATTATAATATTTAAAATAAATATAACAACATAATTTTCTTGATATAGATATTTATTTAGATTATTTATTCCGGTAACTTCTTAGCCCGTAATCTAATAATTTTCTAACTCCACGATTCCTCTTTAGATATGGTTAGTTATTCAATATTCTATCATTCAAATAGAAAATTAATATAAATTAACAAAAAAAAAACTGAATTAAATTCGTATGACTTAATAAAATAATTACATTAAATTCTTTATACATTATTAATTAATATAATTCTCATTTATAATTTAATTAAATATATATGATTTATGAATTGAGTAATTAATGGATATTAAGTTAAATTATAATATTTAAAATAAATATAACAACATAATTTTCTTGATATTTTAATTGTCATCTCGTGCAAACATGTAAACAATAAAATGAAGTTCTTATTTATGAAATTCTTAATTTTCTTTATTTTTTTGATTCATGTATATAATTAAATTTAAATATGGATAGTTATTTTGATTATTTATTCCGGTAACTTCTTAGCCTGTAATCTAATAATTTTCTAACTCCACGATTCCTCTTTTAGATATGATTAGTTATTCAATATTCTATCATTCAAATAGCAAATTAATATAATTAAACAAATAAAAACTGAATTATAAACATATGACTTAATAAAATAATTACATTAAATTCTTTATATGTTATTAATTAATATAATTCTCATTTATAATTTAATTAAATATATATGATTTATGGATTGAGTAATTAATGGATATTAAGTTAAATTATAATATTTAAAATAAATATAACAACATATTTTTTTTTGATATTTTAATTGTCATCTCGTGCAAACATGTAAACAATAAAATGAAATTCTTATTTATTAAATTCTTAATTTTCTTTTTTTATTCATGCATATAATTAAATTTAAATATAGATAGTTATTTAGATTATTTATTTTGGTAACTTCTTAGCCCGTAATCTAATAATTTCCTAACTCCACGATTCCTTTTTAGATATGGTTAGTTATTCAATATTCTATCATTTAAATAGAAAATTAATATAAATAAACAAATAAAAATTGAATTAAATTCGTTTAACTTAATAAAGGAAGACAACAAATTAGGAAAACATTTTAAGAGCGTAAAAACTGAAATATCGTCTGAGGTTTTTCTTATAACTATCCCACCCCATATCTCCACCCCACTTTTCCCACTTCTCCATGCCTTTTCTTGCTAAACGTGTAGTCTTGCTTTGAGATCATGGGGTTGTCCTTTCCTTCACACGTTCTTAACTTGCATGGCATGCGAACTAAGAGAGTCATATATAAAAATGGCATCCCCACACAGTGTGAGGCAAACTCAATCATTTGTAAAATTTCTAACAGTGATATTGTTCTTTCAAATGGCTGCAACATTTGATTGCATTCATTCCATTAATCAATCTCGTGAGGATTGGAAGATCAAAGTACGCATTGTTCGATTGTGGTCCATTGCTCCTCATGCTGTTTCAAACGAGCCTACATCACTTGAGATGGTTTTGCAGGATGAAGCTGTGTGTTGCATTCTAATGTTTTGAATATTCTATGATTCATTTAATAGACTGATTGATTCCTTATAAAACCATATTTTTATATTTTCAACTTGATTTTTTTTCAGGGTGATCGAATTGGAGCTTTTGTTAGGAAAGGAGTTGCTCGTCACCATTCTCGATTTCTTCGTGAAGGTCGTGCCTTTATTCTCACGCAATTTGGTGTTGTTGAGAATTCTGGATCATACAGGACCACACACCACGCTTTTAAAGTGATGTTTCAATATTCGACTACTGTGCGACCTGTGGTGGATAACAATAAGATCCATTCTCATGGCTTCTGCTTTACCCCATTTAGTGATATCATATGCGGTGATTCAAGGGAGGAATATTTAGTTGGTAGGTCATTCTTCTATAACGTATTAATATACGTTTTTCTTTGTTTCCAATTTCATACCATAAAGTTTGTTGTTTTTGAATGTAGATATCATAGGGAGACTTGCTGCAGTTGGGGAGATTCAAAAAGTTGTTGTTAATGGACGACAGGAGCAAAGGCTTGATATATTATTGGATGATGATAAGTATAAAGATATGCTTACCTTTATGTGTTTTTAGTGTTTGCAATGATTTTAGAGATTAAATTTGATTATTTAATGGTTTTTGAGCAATGATTTTAGAGATTAAATTTGATTATTTAATGGTTTTTGTGCGAGAATAAATAGGAGAAATTACCTTGAAGTTACTTTATGGGGTGCCCTTGCCAATGATGTTCTTCGTTATATGAAAGGCCCCACACGTTGTCCCATCATTGTGATTGTCCAGTGGTGCAAGATACGAGTTTTCAAGGGTATGTTACCACAACTATCTGTTCAACTAATATTTTCATGAATATTCATTATGGTGGTGGTTTTTTTTTAGGGATTAAGAAAGTTTCCAACTCTCTTTTCGCTTCCCGTTTGTTCATCCATCCTACCATGGATGAAGTCAGCACCTTTGTTGAAAGGTGAATTTTACACATTTTAGTGTTTCAAGTGGAATATCTTATATTGTAATTATTTACTGTCTATTTCAATTTATTCACTACTTCTCTGAGTTTAGCCTTAAAGCTGCTGGTGTCGAAATTGAGAAGAGGCCAATTCACCTTCCTAATCAACCTACCTTAAGTGTCGAGGATGAGATCTTGCACTGCCCGAATCGTAAATATATATGCCAGCTTCGTGGAGGGCCACTTGTAATTTTTTTATATATCTTTTGTGTTGTATACAACTTCAGTTTAGGGTCATCAACTAATAATCTTAATTTTCGATGAATAATAGGATGCTGATTGCGTTATCTATGCTGAGGTTGTTAGTGTTGACACCGAGCGGGGATGGTATTATATCGGCTGCCAAAAGTGTGCAAAAAAGGTTCTTCCTGATGGTGATGGTTTTTACTGTGACAAGTGCAATGAGTTCGTCAAGTCTGTGTCTCCAAGGTATAAAGCTTATGTTGCTTTCTATTTGTTTTATTACAGCAAGTGTTTTTGGTGGTTGATGTGTTTAGTGGTTGTTTCTATGTTACATTTAGGTTTCGTGTGTGGTGTCGTGTTTATGATGCATCTAGCTCAACTGATGTTCTTATCTTCGACAAGGAATTTGCTACCTTCATGAAATGCTCTGCTGCTGAACTAAAAGAAAGTATAGGAAGGGTGAGTAATCAAACTACAATAGTCATGATTTTTTGGTTTCTTATTCTTATATATATATATATATATATTTATTTAGTTATATTACACATTACATTTTATATGGTTGTGCATTGTAGATGGATGTAACTGGTGTATGTGAAGGTAATGGCTTTGATAAGATAATAGGGAAAAAGTTCCTTTTCCGTGTTAGAATTTCAGAGGATTATGCTAAGGGCCTCCCTTGTGGCATTATAGTAAATGGAATGACTGATGATGAAAACACTGTGAAGAGTTTTCTGGATAAATGGGATCAACAAGTGCCTTCACCTAAATGTGTATCACAAACACCCTCAATTGAGGAAACTGTATGTTCTCTTTCTACCTTAAATAGATACTACGTGAATTCCTTTTTTTTTTTTTTTGGTTTCTGATATATCATATCCATGCTATTTTTATTGAAGGAATCTACTGAAGATAGTTCCTCAACCATTACTCCATCAGAAGTTATTGAAGTTGGATTTGCCAATGGTGGTGAGCATGTTGAAAAGTCTCATATTGCGTACAACTTGCGCAAGGGAAAGAAGATTAAGTTGGAAGCAGATGAGGAGTGATAGAAGATTGCTAATTTTGCTAGACTTTAGTTAAATTTCTCTCAGTCTTGCTTTCCTCTGAACAAGCAGCATATTATTATTTTATTTTACGTTGCTGAACTTAGTTTTTTTCGCATTCATTGTTTGTTTGTGATTTATACCTTATTTTACTCTAATGTAGTTTGGTCATCATTTGTTATGGTATTGGTCGAATTAATTTATTTTGCTGAAAATCATGTGGCCTTTGTTCAATTTTCTTTTACCTCATCCCTTAATTCATTTATTATTGCCAGTTGTGTGAGGCTATTATATTATAATTTATCTTAAATATTAAACTTTGCACATTTTCCTTTTGTGCAATAATTTGAAATTTATTTTAAAATAAATTACTTTCACATAATAAATTTAGGAATTCGGATAGTGAAAATATATTTAAGAAAATTGGGATGTACTGGATTATAATATTTTAAAATATAATTTTTTGATACAATTTTCTTTAATTAATATTAAATAAAATTTTAATAACTTAGGGTTTTATTTTCGTGAAGAATAGTATGTGATGAATATATATTTTATAAATTTTTATTATTCAAATATTAAAAGTCTTTTGGATATTGTATAACATAATTTGAATTTTATTTTATTAAAAAATTTTAAGTATATATTTGAAATAATTTATCTCCTTTTGTTAATATATATTAGAGAAAATAACAGTAAAAAATGCGAGCTCTTATTATAATTTAGCTCTTTTATTAATTTATACTAGACTCATTAACTGTTAAAAAAAAATTTCCAATTCTTTTGTGGTGCGAAAATAATCATGTTTACAAGATTTCTGTCATTAATATCTTCTTTGTTTAATATTAGTAGTGAATAAAATGTTGTCTACAATTACATTAGAATTATAACTTCCTCTACTTGATTTACTATGATGTTTGATTTTTTGACCATGATGTTTAATTTTTCCATTTGCATAATATTGTCTATTACATCAGTCTCCTAATTACTCCCTACTCACGAATTTTAGACTTATATAATTTTGATTTAAATTATATTTGCATTTCAAAAGTTTAATAAATTAATCACACTTTAAAGTTCCATTGCCCTAATTTTTCTTGCATTTCAAACAGTAACTTCCTAACTCTCATACCTGACACATATCTATGTTTTTAGGAAGAACAACAAGCATTTTTCTGTGAAAAAATACTGCCCAATTTAGTAATATTTCAAATACCATGATTCTATAAAGCCACGTAGGATTCTGCTTCCAAAATTAATTTTAATCTGTGAATATAATTTTATTCCATTAATCCTTCATTCCAACAATATCTTACTCTGATGGTTATTTAAACTTTGGTTGGTAATATTCTAATCAATTCCTAACTCCACAATTCCTGTAGGATTTGGTTTAGTTTAATTTTTAATTCTTATTTCATATATATGACTACATCTTATAATTTAATATAAAATTATATTTTAATTAATTCAAATTAACTTGAATTGATTCTATACTTTAGATAAGATTTAAATGTTAGTTGGAAATATCCCAATAAATTCGTTACTCCACAATTCAAGTTAGATTTTTTTTAATTTTTAAATTTTCATATATAAGTGGATTTTATAATCAACTAATGTCGGGATCATGGTGTTAAATTTTTTTATTAAATTAAATTAAAACAAATCACTTTGAGTTATTGATTCTAAATTTTAAATTTTGAATCATATGTGACTGGTTGGATTCCAATAACTTCCTAGACTCCACGATTGATGTTTGATTGAATTTGGGAGTTTTTCAAATTCAAGCATATTATTGCTATTTATAAAAAAATTATTAATGTAATTTTATCTATAAAATTATCAATTTGGGAGCCAACTATAATAGATTAAATGAATATATTTTATTAAAAATAATATAATACCATGATCCCCATGTTACTTGATTTAATATATATCATACCCTAATAATAATAGTGATCCCTACATTTTTGGAATTTAATTTAAGAAAGAATTTCCTAATATAAATTCCTTCTAACGACTAAGATTTGGTGTGTATTTAAATTTTAAAAAAGTTTTATAAAAAATTATACCCATGTCATTTTAATATTTATTAGAGATAATGCAATTATTATATCAACTTTAATTTATATAATTAATTAATTAACTGTTAATAAATGCTTTTTTCTATACATGTATTTACATTTCACAAGAATTGGGTAGTTACATATTTATTTGACTATATAAATTTTAAAATTTTTTCATTTTTGAGTCAGTTATATATTTATTAAATGTGGTGCCTAATAATGATTAATCTTATTAAATATGGTTTTATATACTTCATTTATTTCTGATTGCATAATTTCTTTAACAAATATTTTTGACTATATAATGATATTATTTCTTGTCATCAATAAGTTATACATTTAAATAAAGTGGATTCCTTATGTTCCATTATCTCCCCTCTCTCATATAGTTGTAAACGTGGGTGCTTATGTGATCGTGTGGGTTGTTGGAGATAAGGATAGCAAGTCTCATATATAAAAACTGAGTGAGTACACTAATGATTGCAAGAACTTATTATTCTTCAATCCTCACCATGAATCCATCATTTTCTGACACTGATGAGTTATTCAAGAAAGCTGCCTTGCTTGCCATTGAATACTCCAAAGCAAGTCCTATATGGTGGTGTCCTCCCCCAGAATCTGTCGGCACTACCACTGTGAAGAGGTGCTTGAACCAGAGTCAAAGACAGTTTGAAAGCTCATCTCTTATAACATTTGATAGAGTGAAGAGTGAGGTAGTAGAAGCAAATGATGAACTTGACAATATTGGTGGTCTTATAGCATCTGATGGAGTGAAGAGTGAGGTGGTAGAAGCAAATGATGAACTTGACAATATTACTGGTCTTGTAGCATCTGATGGAATCAAGAGCGAGGTGGTAGAAGCAAGTGATGAATCTGCTGATGGTGGTAGTCCTACAACATGTGTTCCATTTAGGCGCTCTAAGAGAACCAAGAGTATGCCATTTTGGATGATTGACTATTATGTATATATGTGATGTATGTTTAAAATTTAATTTTAATTATGTTTTATTTGCAAATTATGTTTAGTAGGCTATCGAACATCTTGTAAGCGAACTCTTTGTGTGTGTAGGTTATATATTTCAATCTATTAATTTGGTTGATTTTGCTAGGTGTGTGAATGTCTATGCTAATATGCACTACAAATATATAATTTATGAGATATTTATTCCGTGAAATTAAAGCTTTTATTTTGTGCGTGCACATTATCATGATGGTTAATGGAGACATTGAGGGGATATGGGTCACACATTGAGACTTCATGGGTTAAGGAAGTTAACCTGACGTGGCACTTAAAAGCAGAAAAAAAGTTCAAGTTATGACGTAAATGTGCATTGAAAAATAAAAATCATGGAGAATATGGTTATATAAATATAAAAAATATATGTGTAAATAAAATAAAGAGATATATAATAACAGATATATTCATCTCAACAAACCATGAAATTTAATTAAAAAACATATTTTTTGTTGGCAAAATTTAAACAAAATATATTTATTATAAATTAGTAATTTTAAATTTTAATCAAATTAACTGCCACGTTTTTTGATATTTTGCATTATTTTTAAAAATTTTATTAAATCATCATGGGCATCTTAGTAACCACCTTCGGAGATAATATGGCCATGTTGTGAGTTGGCTATTAGCCACACAAGCGCTTCTTCCTTTGTCTTCTTCTCCTTCTCTGGTATGTGTTCATTATAACCTTTTAACTACCATTTTGCCTTCCTTTATTCATTACTGTAGCATTAAGTTTGTATTTTCAACATGAATAAATGTGTGTTGGTAAAAAAAAAAACATGAATAAATGTGAAATTTAAACTTTATGTACCAACACTTTTTTTTTTGAAAAAAAAAATCATTTGGCTGGTTTTGATAATCATTTTCATCATTGTGTTGTTGCTACGTGTGAAGTAGAATTCTAAATGTTCAATGAATCCAAAAATTGCCTATAGTAACAAGCATCTAAGCTATTATATTAGATAATTGGAGGTATTCATCATTTAGCTTCTTTTATTTTGTATAATACTTTCTATGAATAACCTCTTCAATCCTATTAAATTGTAGCTTATGGAATTTTTTCTTGATAAAGATTATTATGCTATGTGTGTTATCACAGTTAAAATGGGTAAAAGGAAACAGATGAATGCATCTCTTGATTCTGCCTGCAACAAAGGTTAGTTTTCTATTTTAACCTTTTTCATAGATGGACATATATAAATATAATTTATGAATTAATTGAGAAATTATATTTTAAATTTTGAGATCATAGGAGAGAAGTTATATTTTCAAATTACCATCTTATTAATTGAGAAAAAAATAAATTGATTCACAAAATTGTGTTCTATTAATTCACACAATTATAATAACATCAGTATAAAAAATAACTAATAATTTAATTCAATTTTAATTTGACTATTGATATGATATAATTTTCAAGAAAATCATCTAAATTACTATTCACAAAATTATTATATAAATTCAAAATTATTCACGAAACGACAATATTCAGAAAGTTATATTTGAGATCAATATCGAGGATAAAGAAGGAAAGTGGTTTTTGGTAATTTTTAAAATAATAATTTTATATAGGAATAGGTATTATTTATATAGATATATTTAATATTTTTAAAATTAAAATTTTAAATTTTTCATTAATTGAGAATTATATTTGAGATTTTGAGATCATGAGAGAGAAGTTATAGTTTCAAATTACAATCTTTTAAATTAAAAAAAATTATTTATTGGCATTCACTTGTCTTTTCCACACTTTTTTTTTTGGGGAAGTAAATAATTCTAAAGATAATGAAGATGTAATTAAAATATTACCTAAAATTAAATTGTAAAATGCTTTTTAATTTGCCAGATATTCTCTTCAGTCTAATGTCATATAAACGTGTCACACTTCACTATTGTTTTCTTTCTTTCTATGTTCAAGAATATCACGTATTTTATATCCCAACACTGCAAGCCATTACTTTTTTATCTTTTACAAATAAAGTATCTTTTCATAAATTTTAAATTGATACTGTCATATATGTTTTTGAACAATCCTGCCTTTTTTAGGCAATGCTCCTTTTAGAATTTTGATTTTTGTGACAAATTTCACCTTAATTTTTCAATTAGATCATTGAATATTCACTCGACAATTTTATCTTTAAATACTGAAAAAAGAAAAACATTGAGACTAAAATATTAATTTATCATTTGTTTTAATTTTAATGTTTGAATTTTTGAATTTAATTGCTGGGTATGACTAACTTTTCCATTTTAATCTTTCTTCACCTCAGAAAATATCACATCATCTAAAATTGCGAGACAACAACGGGTTTCTATCTTGAGAGAAAAAAGAAAGCAAACAACAAGGACATTTATTGCTAGGAATGGCATAACAAGTGAGGCCTTTGGCTTAAAACTTCCTTTCAAATCCTTTTGTATTATATCCTTCCTCCATCATATGCGTTCAACTAATTTATTTGAAATGTGAATATCTTGCACATTTGTATTTATACTTCTTCCTCTTCATCTTCTTTGATGTAAGATTCAGTGCAACCAATCAACAAGGGAAAACCTCCGACGAGCGTTTATAGCCACTCCCATAAAGTTCCCTTATACGATATCACTAATGGTAGGTTTCTTATAACAAGTTGGTATTTATAATTAACCTCGAAACTATAGAAAATTCACATTGCATAACATTTCATGCTCCAATAATGTGAAAATTTGTAAAGAATTAAAATATGCATTGTACTTTATTTGACTTTTGATGGTTCAACAATTGGGTTACATTACCTTAGTTAAATATGATTGAGATGTTTATTTTGAATGAAATTTTAATGTTATATATCTATTCATCCCTACTAATGTATCTGGATGAATTACAGTGCTTCAACATACATGCTCTACATCCAACACCCACAGACAATTTGGAGTTGAACCCCCTGTTAGTTGTAAGTGTTTGAGTACAAGCTTTAATAGTTGGTATTTGGTACGCATCAATTTTGTTAAATGTTTTCAATAATATACTATATATTCTGGAGGTTCATTCATGAGATGGGATTCTCATCAAGTTAATTTTTATGCAATGAGCTAATATTAATAGATCATTGAGTACACAAACTTTGCAATTAAATTTTCTTTCATGGACAATGGAAGTTAGTTGATTATTACGTGACAAATAATGTTAGAGCATGTTAATTGTCTAATTTTTTTTGACAGACAATCTATAAACATTTGATAATGTCCATAAAATCAAAGTTTAATATAGACATAATTTATTTTATTACTTTAATTTTTCAGCTCCTATTGATTTAGGCGACCAAGCATATCCATGTGTTCACTGTGGAGCTATTATGTGGATAAATGAACGACTTGAAAAAAATTGTTCTAACCTTCATCCAAAGTTTGGATTATGTTGTCTTCAAGGGAAGGTTGACTTGCCTAACCCAAAGCATGCTCCTTGGCAACTACAGAGGCTATTTCACTCCATAGATGATGATAGTAAGAATTTTCTTGATAATATTAGAGCATACAACATGATGTTTGCATTCACGTCCATGGGCGGAAAAGTTGATAAAAGAGTAAACAATGGTCGTGGTCCTTATGTGTATTGTATTAATGGCCAAAACATGCATATGATAGGCAGTGTTTTACCTGTTGAAGGAGCACCCCCTAAATTTTCTCAGTTATATATACATGACACTTCCAACGAGACAACAAATAGGATAGCTGCTGTAAGGTACTTTTGTTCTACACTTTTCAGTTTTGATTGCTTTTATAACTATATATAACCAAATTTTGATTCTAATTTTTTTGTCTTTTGTAATATAGTGGCCAAGACACAAAAAATCTTTGCGGCCTTCTATTGTCCAACAATTGCAAAAAATATTGGACAATCACAATGAATTAGTTAAAACTTATAGACTTGCTCGAGATTTTATGGGGAATCATCAAGGTCAGGAAGTTAAGATTCGACTCATTCATAAGGGTGGTAAAAATGCTCATACATATAATTTGCCAACATCACCTAACGAAATAGCAGCCTTGGTTGTGGGAGACATTGGATCAACTGAACTTGGAAGAGATATTATTATTCAATATAGAAGTGGTTTGCTTGAGCGAATTTCTGAGACACACCAATCATATTTGCCAATGCAATACCCTCTATTATTTCCATATGGAGATGGAGGCTATACTGAAGGTATTCCACATAAGAAGACGCAACGAAAGATGAAAGGTGAGAGTGGAACTGTGTCACTTCGGGAATATTTTGCTTACAATATCCAAGATCGAGCATTGGATGGATCACTACTTTTATATGGCCGTAAATTATATCAACAATATTTGGTTGATGCATATACCATGATTGAGTCATATAGATTGAGATATATCAGGATGAACCAAAAAAAACTACGAGCAGAGGTTTATAATGGTTTAGCAGATGCAGTTTTTAGAGGTGATACTCAGGCTTCATTTGTAGGGAAACGAGTAATCCTTCCATCTTCTTTCACTGGTGGTGCCCGTTACACAATGCAAAACTACCAAGATGCAATGGCTATTTGTAGATGGGCTGGGTTTCCAGATTTGTTCATAACTTTTACAGCTAATCCAAAATGGCCTGAAATGACTAGATTTTTGGAAGCTCGTCAACTTCGTATAGAAGATCGTCCTGACATTGTCACACGTATATTTAAAATGAAGCTAGACTTGCTTATCAAAGATATTAGAAAAGAGGAAATTTTTGGAAGTGTCAAAGCAGGTATTACTCAAACTACATTAATAAGCTCCTTTTACTACTCTTATTTAGTTTACATATGCATTTGTAATATGCATGGTTTATTTCTATTTCTTTCTAATATTTGTTTTCATGTTTTTATGTTACAGTTCTATATACAATTGAATTTCAAAAGCGAGGTCTTAAA